TTGGGCAGTATGGTCATTTTAACAATATTAAATTTTTTTCAGTTCATGAGCAGAGAATGTCTTGTTTATTTGTGCCTTTCTCAGTTTCTTTTATCACTCTCTTATAGTTTTCAGTGTAGAAATATTTTACCTCCTTTTTTACTTCTGAGATATGTTATTCTTTTTGATGTAATTATAAATGGGATTGTTTTCTTAATTTTTCTTTCTGATAGTTTGTCATTAGTGTGTAGAAACACAGCTTATTTTGTATATTGGTTTTGTACTCTACATCTTCACTAAACTCATTTATTCTAACAGTTTATTGTTGGTGTCTTTAAGGTCTTCTATATATAATATCATATCATCTGCAAACAGTTTTACTTCTTCCTTTCCAATTCAAATGCCTTTTATTTATTTTTCTTGCCTAATTGTTCTGGCTAGGATTTCCAATTATGCTAAATAATAGTGGTGACAGTAGGTATCCTTGTCTTCTTCCTGATCTTAGAGGAAAGTCTTTCAGCTTTTTACTATTAAATTTTGATATTAGCTGTGGCTGGTCAGATATGGCCTTAGTATGTTGAAATATGTTCTCTCTATACCCATTTTATAGAGAATTTTTATGATTTTTTTTCTTCCTCATTATTTAAATTTGCTTCTTTTCTTAAAAGTATATAAGGCTAACTTTGGAGAACAGTGTGGAGATTCCTCAAGAAATTAAAAATAGAGCTTCCCTATGACCCTGCAATTGCACTACTGGGTATTTACCCCAAAGATACAGATGTAGTGAAAAGAAGGGCCATCTGTACCCCAGTGTTTATAGCAGCAATGGCCACGGTCGCCAAACTGTGGAAAGAACCAAGATGCCCTTCAACGGACAAATGGATAAGGAAGATGTGGTCCTTATACACTATGGAGTATTATGCCTCCCTCAGAAAGGATGAATACCCAACTTCTGTAGCAACATGGATGGGACTGGAAGAGATTATGCTGAGTGAAATAAGTCAAGCAGAGAGAGTCAATTATCATATGGTTTCACTTATTTGTGGAGCATAACAAATAACATGGAGGACATGGGGAGATGGAGAGAAGGGAGTTGAGGGAAATTGGAAGGGGAGGTGAACCATGAGAGACTATGGACTCTGAAAAACAACCTGAGGGTTTTGAAGGGGCGGGGGGTGGGAGGTTGGGGGAACCAGGTGGCGGGTATTAGGGAGGGCACGTGTTGCATGGAGCACTGGGTGTGGTGCAAAAACAATGAATACTGTTACGCTGAAAAGAAATTAAAAAAAATTTTTTTTAAAGTATAGAAGGCTACAGATATCCCTTAAAGTGCTACTTTAGTTGTATCTTTTAAGTTTGATAAGTTGTTTTTTATTTTAGTTGTTTTAACTAAAATTTTCCAATTTTTTGACCAAAGAACATTTGAAATACAAATTTTAATTTTCAGACATTTTCAGGGCTTTTGTTGGAGTTGTGATGGGCAATATGGTCCACATAAAATTTGTTTCTTGAAATTTGTTTAAAAATGGCCTAGAATTGGTGATTGGGTCCTATATTCATTAGATTATGCTTATTAATGGCTGTTCTGATATGTATATCCATTCTTATAAGGATTCTTTCCTTATATCCTTATATCTTTTCCTCATATCCTTTCTAATAAGCTTCATCTCTTTGAGTTGATGAATTAAATTCTTTCATTGATATATCTGATTTTTCAGATGTACCTTGAATTTTTGCTTTCTGGTTTTTGAATCTAACTTAAAAGATGCATCTAAGTTTTGAATTCTTAGATTTTCCAGAAATAATGAATTTTTTTGTCAGTATGTAATAGCCATAAATACACAGTAATTTTTTTTCCTTAAAGCCCATTTTGTCTGATGTAAATAGAGTCCCACCACTTTTCTTTAGGTTAGCATTTTTTAGTATATTTTTATTTTTTTAACCATATTTCATCTAACCTACATGATTTCCATTGTAAATGCATCTCAGTTTAGAGACATTAATACGTGAGAAAATATTTTGACAGCAGGTGAGATGTCATCAGTTGTGAGCTGTATCCTGATTTCAGATATGTTAATATATAAAAAATGTACAACAGGAATTTATGAAATAGAGTGCTTTTCAGTCTTTTTGTGTCCTTGTTTTTTTAAGTATATCTTTTTGAAGTAGTACTTAACTGGAATTTTTTATTTCCAGTGTAGTTAACATACAGTGTTATGTTAGTTTCAGGTGTACAGTATAGTGATTCAGCAGCTCCATATATTACTCAGTGCTCATCAAGATATCTTTAACTGGAATTTAGAAAATTAGTCTAAAAGGCTTTATCTTCTTTTTTTAATTTAAATTCAGTTTAGTTAACATATAATGTATTATTCGTTTCAAGGGTAAAATTTAGTGATTCATCAGTTGCATGTAACACCCAGTGCTCATTAAACTGGGGTTATTAGGACATTTACTGATACATTTGGATTGATATCTATCATTGTATTCTTTGCCTTAATTTTTTTTAAGATTTATTTACTTATTTTAGAGAGAGAGTATGGGGTTAGGGACAGAAGAAGAGGGAGGGAGAGAATCTTGAGTAGACTTCCTGCTGAGTGTGTAGCCCAGTGTGGGGCTTGATCCCATGACCAGGAGATCATGACCTGAGCCTAAAGCAACAGTCAGATACTTAACTGACTGAGCCATTAGGCGCCCCATACTCTTTGCTTTCTATTCTACATTTTTTTCATTTCTTTTTCTACCCTTTTTCTATTTCTCCTTTCTGTATTGATTTTTCTTCTCCTCCTATTGTATCTCTCTACTAGTTTACAAGTCACATACTATACTTTTCTTCTTGTATTGGTACTCCATTAATTTTAATATGCATACTTAAAAGTTAACAAAGTCTAAAGTTAATATCTTTACTACCTATCTATATAAATGAGGACTTTGCATTGTTGTAACCTTAGTCATTTCATTCTTGACATGTGCTATTACTGTCCAGAATTCTAACTCTCTCATTGATGTATTTAAAATTCCACAAAGCAGGCATCACTGTTACTGTTTCATGCTCTCAATATTTGTTTAGGCTTACCCAGAAGCTTAAAATTTTCTTTGCTCACTGTTTTTTCTTGGATCATTTCCTTTTTCTTGGAGTATGATCATTAATTCTTTTAGGAGAATTTCTTGGTACAGCTCTCAGGTTTTAGTTTTCTCAGTATGTGCACTTATACTGCCCTCTTTCTGGGAAGATAATATTGCTGGATACATTAGTCTAGCATAGCAGTTGTTTTTTTCTTACCATTTTGAAATAATAATTGTAATTTCTTCTTTTTTATTAACTCCCTCTCCCAACTGTATCTGCCTGTTATTTTACCCATTTAATTTCTAATGTCAAATATAATTTTTTTAGAAGTTTTTTGGTCTGTTTTTCAGAGCTGGAGGTTTATCATCAGCCACTGCTTTATTTTCTCTAGTCCACTAAAAGCCATGGCTGTGACAGGCAACTTTCTTTTGGTATGTGTTTTTTTACTGGTTTGTTTCCTAGATCCTGGCTGAGCATGTCTCATTGGAGGTAGGACTTTTCCTTATGCAGAGGTCTCTTGTTCATATTTGCAATATACTTGGTCCCTGGACTCCAGAGCCCAGCAGGTATAAACACAGACTTCAGAAAATGAAATATGTATCTTTCTTTGATGCTTATGATATTTTCCACCGTTAGATCTCTGTAAACCTATGAAATTATGATTTCTGAACTGGATTTGCTTTGAGCCATATTTTTTTATGTGCTTTCTCTTTCTTTAGTTTTAATTTCAATTGTTCTGTTTTCATACGTATCTTGTAGACAACTTATTGTTGGTCCTTATCTTTTTTTTTTTAATGTTTATTTATTTAGTTTGGAAAAGAAGAGAGAGAAGCTCAAGAAGACTCTACACTGATCACAGAGCTCAGTGCAGGGCTTGACCCCATGACACATGAGATCATGACCTGAGCCAAAATCACGAGTTGGACGTTTAACCAAGAGAGCCACCCAGGCACTCCAGTCCTTATTTGTCTTAATTAAACTTAAACATTTGGCTCTTGCTGTAAGGTTTAACCCATTAAAGATTTTTATAACTTACTTTGTATTAGGGATTATTCTGCCATCTTATTTTTTGTTTTGAATTTACTATTTACTGTATTTTCTTATTTGTGTCTCCATTTGACAGGTCAGAGGGTTTTTTTTTTAATATTTTGAAGATTATACAGAATATTTATATGGTATTTTTTCTTATGTTAATATCATTGCTTATATTTTTAAATGTGTTTTTCCCTGTTTTTCTTTAGTATAATACCTCTTCTTTCTTCTAAACCAGATATCCATTTTAGTGCACTTCTTCATTTAGTTTCTTCTTCTTTTTTTTAACCTTATTCTGTCCTCCTCTACCAAATGGATGTCATTAGGAATTTCAGATATGGATTGTAGAGTGTTTCCTCTGCTTTACCTCTGCCTCTCCTTCTTCCTTCAATGGAAAATGCTTGGGAGTGACCAGTTTTTCTGAATCTCTTATTATCTCCTCTTTGCTAAAGTTGAACTGACCTTGAACACTGCCCTATTATACCTCACTGACATTAGGCTGGTTGTGCTGTTTGTCTGCACAGCAGTGGATACTGGACAGGCAGTCATCTACTTGAGACAGTGAAAAAACTCATCTAAAAAGTTCTTTCCAACACATCTAGGTTTTCTGGTTTTCTTCTCTGGAAATCTTTTCTTTCTTCTCAGAATATTCTCACAGTTCTTATGTTAATTCTTTAGGTTTACAAACTTCAGGTCAACTTCTATAGCATCTTGAGGCTTAACTCCTTGAGAGGAAGTCAGCAGTCTATACTAGATTGTCATTTTTTTCAGAAAGCTAAAGTCTTTATAATATCATTAATATAATTGTATATGGAGTGCTAAATATTTTGGAGTTGGCTCACTGGTAACTTACAAAATAGAGAAGTATTTCTTAATGGAATGAAACATATTAACTTTAGTTTTAAAATTTTAATATCCCCAGTTCTGACAGCATCAGCAGTGACGAGGAAGAGCTGAGGACTTTGGGAAGCAGTGGTAGTGAAAGCAGCACTCCAGAGAATGTCGGGCCTCCTTTCATCATGGATGAGAATAGTTGGTTCAACAAGTGTAAGAGAGTTAAACAAAAGTATCAGCTAACCCTGGAACAGAAGGTATTTATCAGTTGCCAAAAGTCATTGATTTGATTCTCATTTTTGCCTTTGGACTGTCACTTCCAAAAGATCTTTTAACTGAATATAAGTGTTGACCCATTGCTACTTCCTTTTTGTACTTGAATTGTCCTTGTCTTGATGAAAAATCGTGCAGGGTTTTAAAAGAGGCTTTTGTTTGTTCGACTTTTTCTAATTTTATGTTTTAATATAAAAATTAGCCTTTAGGGGCACCTGGTTGGGTCGGTTGGTTAAGCATCCGACTCTTGATTTCAGCTCAGGTCACGATCTCAGAATTGTGGAATTGAGCCCCATGTTGGTCTCCACGCTGGGCATGGATCCTCTTAATTCCTCTCTCTCCCTGTCTCTCTCTGCCCCTCCCACCCTCTAAAAAATTATAAGTTAAATTTTAAAAATAAGCCATTTATTCCTCTGTATGTCTTTTCATTTATATGTTTGAGATTTTAACGTTTATTAGGAGGGTAAATGTAAAGCAGACAAATATGAAAAAAAGAATTCTATAATAATATCATTCAAGATAGACCTTAAGGCAAAAGCAATATTAAGGCTAAAGAAAGACATTGCCCTTGAGAAAAAGAAACAGTTCACCAAGAATGTGAACATGGTGGAGATGAATAGAATGGGTGAAGGTGGTCAAAATGTATAAATTTCCAGTTTACCCACTGCAGGCAAACATCTTATTGAACTTCAGGGAAGGGCTTTAAAGGATGGACAACATATGTTAAATTTTTGTATTCAATTAAAATGATTATTTTTTTATTATTTCATCATTAATACTTAGAGATTATTTCATTGAAATATGGAAAGAATAGCATTTAACCTACTCAGTATTGATCTTCAAGGTATACATTAGGATTTTGTGGTAGCTCTATCTTGTTGGTACTGTATTTTCAGGGTTATCTTGAAGAACTCTTACGACTTCGAGAGAACCAGCTGTCCGAGTCTGTATCCCAGAATAAAATACTACTTCAAAGGATTGAAGATTCTGATCTGGCTCATAAATTGGAAAAGGAACAATTAGAATATATAATTGTGGAGCTTCAAGATCAGCTGTAAGTGAGATCCTTTTGGGAAAATATTGGCAGTATGTAAACATAAGAAAATGTCATGTTTTGACATAGGATTCAAACTCTGAGAAGTCTAATTGTCTACTATTAAGTTCTTTTTCCCTTACTCTTTTTAAAAAGTTTACTCTTCCTTTTTTGTGTCATAAAAGTAATTTATGCTCATGGCAGAAGTATTACAAAATATAGGAAGAAAATAAAAACTATCTTCAGGTGTGTGCTACCCAGAGTTAACTCCTATAATTTGATGTGTATTCTTTCAAATGCATATACATAATTTTAAATTATCTATTTAGTTATTGATGGACTTTAATTAGTTGATTCAAAAGATGGGATATAAAACCAGTACCACTCAAAGTACAATAATTGTGCAGTGTTTGTTCCCATGTGTGCCAGAGTATCACTAAGCACAGTTTAGTATAGCTTTTTTCCATAACAGTAGTTTTTCGGCTTTTTGGTCTTGGGTTTTGTTTTTTTCCTGAAGAAAGGTATGTATTGGTATAACCTCCTTAATTTGTCACTATTCAAAGCACTTGTACTAATCATACCATTTCATCAAACTTGATTTTATCAAATAATTGTTTATGGTGAAAATCTTCTCGCATTAATATTTATCTAATCTGAAAAGATTATTTAAAAAGTTTTTATTTTGAAATAAGTTCAAAATTTCAGAGAAGTTGCAAGGATAGTATGAAGAATAAGCCCTTTCTTAGATTTACCAAATTTCAGCACTTGGCCACATTTGCTCATAATTCTCTCCCTCTTGCATACATCACAACTCTTTATCACATAATACTTCAGTTGTGTCTTTCCTGAGAACCAAGATATTCTCTTATATAGCCATAGATCATCTATCAAATTCAGAAATTTAAATCAGTGTGATACTTTCATCTTATCCATAACTCATTCCAGTTTCATCAGTTGTCCAAATATCTCTTACTGCAGCTTTGGTTTTTCTGGTACAGGACCCAGTCCAGAATCATGTTTTGCATTTGGTTATTCATTCCTTTAGTCTCATTTCTTCAGTCTCGTTTCTTCAGTCACATTTAACTTAGAACAGTTTCTCAAGTCTTTGTCTTGTATGAAATCGATATTTCTGAAGAATACAAGCTAGTGATTTTATAGAATGTCCTTCAATTTGAGTTGGTTTGCTTTTTCTCATGATTAGAATGAGTTTATCCATTTGTGGTTGGAATATAAGTGGGGTGTCTGTAAGTGTTGGGGATATCATATCCAGAGGTCCATGGAATCTGTTGGTCTTTTTTACTAATATTAATTTTAATCATTTGTTTATTGTGTTTTTCTCTTGGTATAGTTATTGTGTTTCCTTTTGTAATTATCATATAATTTCCAGGGAGATCCTTTGAGACCTAGTAAACATGAAAGATGATTTTTTTAAGTAAAAATCTTCTATTAACTAACATAAAACTTCAGTGTTTTCTAGGAATTTGTGTCTTGGCAAAAAGAATTATGTTCACATATTATTTTTTTCTAATATTTTACTGAGAGTTTGTCCTGTGGAGTATCACTCATTGAGAGGCATATTAATACCTTCCATAACTCTTTGCTTCTGTAAGCAGGGAGAAAAATATCCAGAACTGAACAATGGAGATTTCTAGTTATTTCTTTACAGCTAGAAGAGTTGAAGATAATTTAATTTTTCCTTTGCAATTGATACTGATAGTTTGTCTCAATGTTTTTAACTTAAAAATAATTGTGAAATCAGTTTTTATTTTATCAAAAAGATACTTTCATTTGAAAAATAAAATGTGTCACATTTACTGTACTTTTGATAATGTAAAGGAAAAGACTTAAACTTTTTAGTTTGAAAAAAGAATCTGAGTTATAGTTTTATTACACTTATATGGTAGAAAAGTATCATTGATACTTACAATTTTTAATGCCTTTAAGGATATTTTAATTAAATATTACCAGAGCAAAAAATAAATACTGAAAGTCACCAATCAGAATTAGGCTATTTTCTTGAGTTTAGGGTCAAAGATGTACTTTCACATAACATGGCTATACTCTTAGCCAGGTAAATTGGTATCTTAAAAGGTTCCTTTGTACAAAAACCACTTACAAGGATACTAAACAGAAGAGTAAGATACCTTCCTCTGAGAATCTTCTCAATTCACTACATTAACTGAATCATCTCTAAGATACAGAATAAATACTGTAGACATATTTGTGGCTTTGGGAGAAGGTGGACATTTTTCCCCTTCTTTTCTTGCTGAAATTTTTTGTCAACACTTAGGAAGGCCTGCAATGAAATGTGAGCACTGGAATTCTCTTTGTTAATTCTAAGAAGACTGTAGTGGCCCTGAGAAGATTAAAATTTTAAACGTGTAAAGGAAAAGGTCAGGAGAGGAGTATTAAATGGATTACAAAGCATATAATATTTGCTTTCACATTATGTTAATCATCTTTTTCTGGTTGATTTAAATCCTTTGTCACTTGGCTTATTCTTTTTATATATTTCTCAATGCTTAGATGTATTTTTGAGTAACTGTTAAAGTATGCTTTGTCTTTGAATACTCCTAAAATGTGAACATCCGGTAGTTTTGGTAGAGTACAGGTGAGCATGGTGCACTAGAGGAGCATTCTAAAGCTTTCTTACAGATATGGACTGTGTTCAGACACTGGCTTTGTATTTGCCTATTATTATGAGCTCAGTCTTTAATAATATCTTAGAGCCTCTGTCTCTTTATTTGTAAACTGGAAATAAAACTTACCTTATAGATTACTATGAATATTAAGTGCTATCATGTAAAATACAGTTAGAACAAAGGAAACATTCAAAGATTATTCCTCTCTTTTGGTCTATAAAAACCTTAAAATATCCTTATTAAATACATGTGGATAAATGGTAAATTTAAAATATTTTACTTTATTATGCCCAAATGCTACAGATCAAACAAATGAATTTAGACTTTGATTTTATTATCCCCGAGTTTCAAAATATTTGTTTTTCAGAACCACTTTCCAAATGGCATGTGGATTAATATTTATAATTAAGGTATAGATTTGCGTATATTGGGAGGAAGATATACATGACTACTTACTACTTTACTGGTACCACTTTTAACTGTAATTCTTTTCTTCATCGATTACTGATGGAATACTAATTGGATTATTTTGGATTATTAGTCTTTGACTAAGGTGTATTTGGGTGATTAAATTTATGTTGGTGGAATTTTAAAGTGTCAAAAAATTTTAAATCTCCAAATAATGATTAGGAATAATGCCATTATTTCATTGAGAAATACAGCATCACTCTAGGTTTTTATTTTCATAGTTTTATTGAAATCTGTGGCATATTTTTATTTTATTTAGGTAAGTTTTAATTCAATTTTGCTTGCATGTTAAACTTCATCCAATAAAATAAATACAAGCAAGCTTAATGTATTAGTTACACTTTGAATCAATATATGGAAAGTCTTTTATAAGATTATGAAATGTATTGTTTATGGTCTTATAAAAACTTATTGTCATATTATTTATGCTATCTGGTGGGAACCCTTTTCATTTTTGAGTTTAGTTTTATTCAGTAAACATTTATTTAAATGTATAATTCTGTGCTTGAGAGTGCCAAGAATATAAAAAATAAGAAGGATATAGTCTTCACAAAGAGCTTATAAGTTAAAGAAGTGGACAGATGGACATCATTGGTCACATTGTTAATTGAAGAGAACCATACATGGAAGGAAAGGTTTGTGCTCGTCCACAGGCTTAGATCTATGTAAAATGCTAATTTCAAATCTCAGGACTAGAGAGGCTCAGAATAGTGAGTAAAATCTAAATACCTTTGTCATGATTAATACCATTAAAATTTATAAAAAGGAGTTTTTGCTGTTTGGCTGATGCAGTTTTTCTATTTATGGTGTGAAAAGCTATAGGAATAGTATTGTCCTATAAGGCTCCCTCGTGAAGGAACTGAAGAGTCTAGCTAACAGAAGTAAAGAACCACGCATTGTTAAAACTAGGGCATTGTTATAGTCGAACAGCCATGTTTGTATAGTTCCTTGTAGGTAGTGATGGTGTGATCTGTCAGCCTGCAAACCAGAAGTCAGTGATGCTGTAGCATCCTGCTTCACAAGGTTTAGAGCGAGTGGCATAGATCCTAACAAGAGTGCAGTGATGTCATCCTGGCCCAGTTAATAGTGGACAAATTATGGTAGTTCCTGATCGTGTATATTTTTGGCAGGTAACAATTATTACTAAGAGTTAACATCATGTTAATACATATTGCATACTCTGTTATCCATGTAAACACAGAAAAATAAAGAAGATGCATCTGGAAGAGAAAAAAAACCAGATACCAGATAGTTAGTGTTAGGGTCCGTAATCAAAGGAGCGAGACTGATACAAAGCAAAGGTCAAGCAAAGCTTTATTTCGAGCCAAGCATCGAGAATCAAACTGACCGGTCAGGGCCGTCTCTTGCAAAGAGGCGACCCCTCCCAGCCTCACAAACTAACTTTTATAGAGGTAGTTTAGCCGGGCTATACACAGGTGGCCAATGAGATTGCAATACACAGAGAAAACTGCACAGTCATGCTAAGTCTGCCACACACAGAAAAAAAAAAAATAAATAAAAACTGCTAGGTAACACATGGGTGGCCAATTGAGTTTCAATTCACCCTGGTGGATATACGCGCGCCCCACTGATTGGATGTCTTCATCCGGCCTGCCCCACCCTTGTATCTAGGCTTTGCAAGTAAGTTCCTCTGGGAGGGGCAGGGTCAATCTAAGTTTACTGCATAGGGTCAATCTAAGTTTACTGCATAAACACAAAATGACTCCCTCTGGCCAACCAGGCCCTTACAGTTAGGTCAAACTACACTGTATTGTACTTTCTTGAGTGATAATGGGAAATTACATATTACACCAAGAAATTACAGATTTGATATGGGTGTTATTTCATTGCCTTTAGTTATGATGTTTGATTAAAACTGCTGGCATATTCTTCAGTAGAGCAGATGTCAGT